CGTTGAATCGATAAAAATACACCAGAATTTGTTCACACGACGAATTATAGGAAAAGAATAACGAGAAGTTAGAGCCGCTCGCGAAGTTCTTTCCACAGAAATTAAATTATTAATCGTTTCGATGCGAAAACTTACTTCTATTCTAAGAACAGCAGGATGATTATGTCTCACTCCACATTGTCAAGAGCGTTACACAGAGCTGAGTGTAACGCCGTCGTGTAACAACCGAGCGATCAATAATCCATCGAGAGTAGATGCGAGATAACGAAAATTGTAGGCGCCTCATCGAACTTTTATACACGGCTTTCGAAGCCAGTGACTACTAGTCTGCCGCGACGTTGTCGACAAAGATACGAGCTGGTCGTGCATTATAAACGGAGGCTGCGTATCGATTTAACGACGTGGATCGAGTACGATGTACGTAGTACCATTGGAATTTATGGTCGACCGTATGGAGGACGCACAGCCGATTAAGTTTGTCGAGTAGACTCAGGGTACGACGCAAGCTGTTGCGCATATGAATTTTCCTTTTCACATAGTAAACAGAAATTTCTCAAAATCGATCAAACCAATTAACTGCAGATCGCAAACTCGATAAAAAATTGTTTCGCACGTCATGTAAAAAGGTACAATTTCTCGGCGTAGAGGCTTTCCGCCTTCATCCTTCATGGATACCGAGCTTATCGATAAGATATTACTATATTATTCGGAGCTGTACCTTAGGTAGAATGTCCGAGAGCAACGAGGGTCAAGCAAGCGGAAAAGTAATCTTCGCAATTTCGTTTCTCCTCTCGTAGCGGCTTTCTATCGGCACGACACCAACCTCCACCCTTGACCTTAATCCCGCTTCTTCATTTAAAATTACGATGTTTGCGTGTTTTATCAATTCTTTTGCACGCGATAGATAGAACACGATACACGTCGCCACATCGTATCTGGCTGTTGCTGTTGCGTGGAGCACGGTGATTCGCGTTAAGTCTCTGAATAATGTATTATTTCTATCTGAAATAGAGTTTGATCGTGACATGGTCTTTCACACGTCCTCCATATCAACAAGCTGCGGATGAGAAAATATATTCGAAAACTCAAAATTTGCCATCTAATTTCGGGAAAGAATTTCAGGGAAAATTGAGAAGTTTTACGTTACTTATAATTCTCGTGTCTCTCCTTCGAAATTGAGAAGCTTTTTAGAAATCTTACGCCATACATAAAAAAAACCAATGGTACTTTTATTGTTATCCGACGGTAGTCCGACGGAGATTTCAAATTTGATAAAAAAGAACGACCTGCGGCTTGTGAGATCCATTCGAACAGGACAGAAGGAAATATTCCTCCTGGAAATCATAAATAACCGATGACACGCGTAATCCAGCGACCCTTTTCTGCGGCCTTCAGACAGCTTTTCGAAGATATCGGATGGCATTGTAACGCTTGCTCGAGACACTCAGGGGCTAGAAACGACCAAGTTACCCGGGATAGTCGATGTCCCTTCAGCGGTAGCAGCGCAAACTCACCCTCGACTGTCTGTACTCACGCAACGCTTCATAGTTAGAGGCGCTCGCGTGGAAGACGCACGGACCCTGTTAAAATTGCCCGATAATAGACACATAGCGGGGAAATTGAGTCGGAACCGATTAAATATTATGACAGTATTCCCATGAAATTTAATCTGGAGTAATCAAACGTTAGAGAGTAAAGAACAGTGGCATTGATCCGAGAAGAAACGGGATTATCGGGATGGTTCGCTATCAACGTTGCATTAAAAAAAAATATTGCTATGGTACGATCTGCTGAATACGTTTTTCGGTAGAAAGTACGCGACCACCTCGCGAGTCCTCTCATCTCCATCAAATATAATTTTCTAGGAAAAAACCAGTTAACGAGCTCGGCTAAAACGCTGATACGCTATCATTAATTGTTATCTCGGAAATACGTGTATTACAGGGAAATAAGGCAAATATTTCTATAAAAATTCAAATATTAGGTTGTCCGAAAAGTGTCTTTTTTCGCAAACGAGTTTTTTACAACAGTGCACTTTCATACAAACGTGATACCAAGTCTGTGAAATGTCGCGATGTTTATCTCAACAGAACAAAATGGATCGTACGTAATTCGACAAAATAATATAAAACAAAAAACGTTGTGCGTCTATTATTTCCTCATAAAACGAAAGAAACTTTTATTTATTATTTATCTACTATTATTACTATTATTATTACTACTATTATTATCTACTATTTATAGATACATCGTATTGAAGTCAAATACAAATCAGTCGCTAATTTAGTCGATTCAGCGAACAAACGACGTTCCAATACGTAGCCAAAAACTTTTACTCGTCACGTAACATGTACATGAATAAATGGGAAGCACGTGTCCAAGAATCTCGACTATCCGTGAATTCATCAGCTTAACGGTCTAAATGAATACGGTACTTGACGCAAGTTCATGCATTCGCTACGAACTTCGTGCATTCTTGAAACCCCAAAGAGCTAGGCGTAAGATGACTAGGAAAACTTAGTTTGGAGAAGCGTATAGGTAGCCGCGCGCGCAAAGAGATATTAATAAACATTTGATCCTTTTCAGTGGAAGTTTGAACGTCTACTAAGACGTTTTTCGAATTCAGCAAGAGACTCGTGAAAGAAAGATTGGGTCTTGGGAAAGATCGATCGACTTTTTAGCAAATGTCAAACTGTGTGCAAAAACTCGAAACTTTTTAAGGATCTCAAACACATGATTCCTTGGAAATCGATAGTTCGAATAGCTTTCGAGAAATTCGAGCGTTCGAGATCAGAGAAATCGATCATGCGAAGGAACTTGAGATTTATCGAGATACATTCGAGACGAGGGAACGTCTGCAAGTTCTTGTAGAACTTCAATTTCCAGCGATTACAAAATTTTAAAACTTTCAACGTATGCGCCCAACGATTCTAGGCGTTTCGAGTGCATCGTTAACAAAGGGCGCCAACACACGCACGCATACAAAGGGCAATGAGACGCGCCTGGAATCAAGTGACAATAGACGCGCCAGGAAATTGAGTTGGCACTGATTAGACATTGCGGGCGTGCCATCATGCCGCGACGGTTCGTTGGAATCTACTCCGGCATACCCCGGGAGTCCAATTCCACCTTGAAGCTCGACCGATATTATCTCAGACTTTAGATCAAGCTCCCGACAACTCGAGCAAAAATGTCAAACTTTTCGCACTGACCAGGATAAACCGTGTTGATCTGTTGCTCCGTTTTTTCGTCATTGGCAAAAGAAAATTAAAGATGTTTGTTCGCCGAAATCGGGACAAGTTTCGAGGCGAGGAAGGAAGTTACACGTTGTATAAATCTCTGATGCTACTGGCCACGGATGTTGCGATCATCGTCGTGCAATTTGTTTCCCTTTGAAACGCGAAACGTTTTATACTACGGGACAGAGTAATTGAAAGCGAGGAAACAGTTGTGAATACGAAAGAGTATTTTACCATGCGCATAATAGGCCATGATTTCATTTCCGCCCGGCAGAAAAGTTGTTCGCAACGACGAGAAACGTTGCCGTAGATTACGGCAGAACTAGACGCATTCTTTACGGCTACGAACGTATACAGTTTATGCAATGCCATGAATAAGCGTGTCACACGCCGTGGTAAAGCTGCGCACGTTTTACGAAGCTTGCGCGGCGATCATAATTTTCGTTCCAATATTCTTTTGTTAGGTATATATTCGCATTTTATAGTATCGAACGTAGTAGCTTTTATGAGTACTGAGCCTCCACGTTAGCTCGAAAGCTGCTCTTTCTGCAATAGCCCAGTAATTTCCCTTTAAATGTCAGCTAATGTATTCGCCATATAAAAAGTTAGTAACGGTATATCGAATATTGTCAGGTGAAATTTAAATACTGGCGTTGGTATGCTTCGATATTTGTGATCCATATTTGCATGTTCACATTCCCATTCGTAACCACGAGATATGCATGCGTGCGTCATGACAAGCGAAATACGCGGATTTTTATAACAGTTTAAAACCGTGCATCTGGTCCTGCGTGAAACGAAAAAATAAGACCGGCACTGGGAAAAATAACGCGACAAATCGAACGATGCCGCTCGTATGAAATTTGCAGAGTGCTGCGAGCAAAATAAAAAAAAAAGAAAAAATTGCAAAAGTCATTTTACATCGTGCAGATTAATACTTTATTGATCGCGAATATTTCCCAGGGTTTGTTTACGTTACAGTACGATTATCGTTATACGTATACGTATATTTTCCTATGAAGCAATATTATCGTATAAAAATGACATATTCGCATGAATTTCAAATAATTTTTTTACTCCTAACAAACGAAAAGTGATCACTTTTATATCGTGTATTAAACGGCTCTAAAAAAATATACACAGGGTGCGTGTGTCATACCTCGTAGCGAATATAGATTTGCGGCAAAGATTTTATTTGCAAGATATCGAGTACCGAGTTACCGCGTACAGTTTTCGCTCGCGAAAACCCTCAAATATTTTGCTAGTCACCGTTAATGTTCCACTGATCTTCGTTACTGTCTATTACCCGGGATTCCAACCAAGTAATGCTCTCGCATTTTATGCGATATGGAAACGCAAGAGTTGGAGGCTTCGGCAACCTCGAATAAGATAACCCTGCAGGTCGAACTCCGGGCCGTTATGCCGATAACGAAAATCCGTTTCCGTAAACCAATGTCCTCCTCCATCCCTATGGGGAACAGCTATACATACTATTTCAATCCTTGCGAGGATTACGCGGATTTTCCTCCGTTCTCCGCTCCACTACCCATCTTTCTCTACTTCGATCATACGTACGCTCAGCCGTTTCATTAAATATTAAATATTTATTCTGGCAAATTTATTAATTGCTCGGAAGCTTAACACGACCGATCCTTCGGCCGTGAAAGCTTCGAAAAATGAAAAATCTGCTAATAGTCGGACAGAATGCACTTGCGCCCCATTTTTTGTTGCAACGATAGTACCGCGGTCTTTATTCGACAGGACAAGCCGATTCACGGACGTTCAAGAAAGGAGAGACGAGGGAACAAAAATCCAACCTTCAGTGCGAAAACACGGAGCTGGAAGTTGCGGTGAATAGCGGCTGGCGCGACGTTCGGATTTCCTCGTATGTTTGGTGACCGTATTTTTTCCACGATGACAGTACGGGCCGGCTAACAGAATCCCCAACTTTGGTACCGCGCCAAATTATTATCGTCCAGTGTGCTTTATATTCTGGCCGATCGGGTGGTTCGACGCCCCGTCGGTGCCGCCGTATAACCTGGCTTTCCTCCGCAAACCGAACATCCGACAAAGGGTTATGTAAACTTTCGAATCGCTCGAATTTCCCCAACACCTTGAAAATTCTTCACATCGTTTCAACACCACTCGCTCCGACGCGTCTCTATCGCGTCGTACATCGTACGGTAATACTACTTACAACCTGAAATAGCCTGAAATAGAATTAGTTAGGATAATTAAAACGTGTTGAGAAAGTTTCGAGCGGTATGCATCGAATTTGACGAGGCGTTGTCCCCCGGGATAGCTACGAAATACGCGTTCGCGTGATCGCGTCTGCATATGTCGTATAATCTATTCTTATCGCAGTTAACATTACAGAAGCCTGCCAAGCCCCTACAAAATGCATCGTGGCCGTATGTTTCTAATTATTTACTCAAGATAATAGCACGTATCGAGCAAACGATAGTATTAATCGACTATAAATCAAGCAGCTCGTCGCGGACGCGATTATTGATTCGATAAATTTCTGGTCTTTCGTTCGTCGAGTATGTTTCATGGCAAATTAATTCCTGCTTATCGGAGAACAACAATTGCGTGCCATATTTCACGTAGTCTGATATTTTGCAGTGCCACTGACCGTGTAATAAACGGCGCACGATCGTTATCTCGTAATATAGCTCGAGATGCAAACCACTCGGGAAAGAAAGATTTAACTTCGTTTCCGTGATGGCCGACACGGAATTACATAAGCGTCCGGCTCGTTTCGAAAACGAATTCTACAGGGGAAACGAACGCTCGAGGTAGTAATTTTGTACGGCTAGATCGCGAAACAGATACCACTTTAAATCGAATAATTAATTGTGGTCGGTCAAATTACAGATAGGAACGTCGTAAAATAATGGTCGGTACGCAATAGTACTTTGCCAGTCGAACAGACAATTTATGAACGAACTACGCGCAACATTCGAAAAAGCAGTCAAGGAACGATTCAATCCCGTAATGTAACGCGAACGCGTAAGAATTTCCGGGAATTTCGGATTTCGAAATGGGAAGCATGTCAGTCGATCTTATTCGCGATTCGGTTCGCGCACAGGGGAAGCTGTCCCGTTTCGTAAATTGTATCGTTCGAGCCATTCGTTCGCGTTCCGCTCCTTTTACTTTTCGAATTTACTTTAAGCATGCAGAATCGAGTATCGTTTACGGACTCGTACAGTTGTCGATTAATTGCCGACCAACCGGCAATCATTTCGAGATAAAGTAAACGGAAGTCAGCGACGTATGGCGAAAAGCGTATACTCGCGAATAACTTTTCAAGGGGATGCTTGCTTTACAAAATCAACGATTGTATCGCTGACCTACACCGTGCTTATTTCGTCGTTGTCCGCATTATTGTTATTCGTATTGCACAGGAACTTCGCTGCATTAATTGCAATACGATCGATTCTATATGGTGCTTTCGGGTTGTTTAACTTCACTCTGTGTGCACAAACTTTCCTCTTAAAGATAGCGGATTTATAAAGTTGACGCTTCACTGCTGATCGCGGTAAAACTTTTGATCGGATCACGAGCAAAATTAATTTTTGATTCTAAGTTATCACGCGATATTGCGAAGACGACAGACAGCCATAACTTTAAGCGAAACAACGTCGTACACTTTTCGTTTTCCCCTTTCGACTTCCTTTCCCTCTTCGACCCCTATTCCGAGAATGAATTGCGCAAGCCCTTTCGCCCTTTTTATCATTCCTTCGCAGTCGCGCCTTTCCTGGCGACAAAATTGGCTTTGTTATGCGGCACGAGGTTTCAATTCCCAATACAGAACGGTCCAATTTGTGTCTGTCGCTGGTTTCGTCTCCCTACTTCAACTTGGTCGATGTTGTGTACGTCTCCTAATGAGACACAGTGAACCTGCTGGATCGCTCAAACTACTGTCAACCATACCAGCGACTAGTTTGCCGGATTAGAAATTCCGCAAATCTTCCACCGCATGCGGCTGAATACAATGTCAAGCCGTATGTTTGAGAGGCGCGTTCGTGTGTACACGAGCGGCACGATGTAACGTGTACGAATTCTCATCCTTGTACCAGCATACATTTCTCCCTGTGCGAATCTATGTACACCATTGTCTCGTCTATATTCGCCGAGGGATTCGCGATATCGGATCGGAGCTCGTCTATGGGACCACTTTCGGTCTTCTGCCTTTATTCGCGGTTTCACCGCTGAAATAGTACGGCCAACTTGGGAAGCGCGTTGACTTCGTAACGCCGCAATCGCGAAACGTTACAACACGCGATACGACTGTCTCTCTGTATATTTCTATTCCGACCAATAAATAGTATCGCGGCTAGAAATCTGGCAGAGGTTGTCGCCGTCGATTAATCGTCGTGTCTCTCGACGAAGGATGACCGTAACTCGACGATCGCCTATTAACCGCGGCGATCAATCGAGTACCCGCGAGCAGGCACAGTTCATTTGCGAGCAGATACGATCGAGCATTCGTGCTATTATCAGCCGAGCCATCAGGTACTTAACTACAGAAGCATCTGTTGGTCGTGCGTTAGCAAGTTTCTAATTTATTTACTCCAAGAGAAACTTTGACCACAGCCGCAAACTCAAAGACTTGCCGCTTTACGGCACGTAAGTGTGAAGATAAAGTTACGCTGAGATGGGACTATAAAACACACTGGGCTGCATGGATTTTCGCGCCACTTGACGCATCTCTAGGAGGAGAATTAAGCCGGTTTTGTTGCCGCAATAAACGCGCCGCTCTCTATTAATAATTCATGCAACCAACGCGACGGTCGAATCGTGGAGAGCCGCTTCGATCTTTCGTACCATCAGATTCGAACCTGATTTCGTGTTTGAAGAAAGTAAAACGAGAGATTTAATTCCTTTGCGCGAGCACTTCACCGAGATTTTCGATGCGAACAACATTTATTTCAAGAAAAGAACCCTTGAATCTAGTAGCGAGCTATCAAGCTTGAATGCTTCTTTCTTAAATTGTTGCTCGAGTGTCGCGTTTCTCAGGATGCCTTGCATCTTGTGGCGAATAAAATCGATGACCGTACCGTAAACTCAATTACATCTTCTAAAGGGCTATCGAATTGTTAATCGATGCAAATATAAAACGCTGAGATACGTCCGACCGTACAAATATAAAAAGTAAGGTGTCGAAAAACATTGTAATAGGCGGTTAAAACAGCGAAATTTTTCCTGTAATATCTCCAAGTGCGGAGACGCTTTGATAAATGGACTTTGGCGCAATAATTGTTCGCTCGTTCCAGGAAAATATACGACTAGGTAAGCAAGGTAAATGTAAAGCGAAAAAGAATGAAAACTGAATGAGAGAAGAAAAAAGGGGACACGAGATTCTTTTTCAAATGATCACTTTATCAGACAGGTGTTACTTTTACACTCCACTAATACGTCTCATTGTACCAACCTTTTAACAATGTCGCTTCTGTGCTCGTTTCCTTTTCAAAATTCATTGTACGTCCACGTTTTATCATTGAATACTCTGAGTTTCTCACCGGAAGACGCATTTTTCTGTTCGGTAAACAGTCTTTGGTCGGTGAATTGTTTATACGATGAAAAATACACGAGACAGATGAAATTAATTAAGCAAATGCAAACAAGAGAAACCAACCTCTTTACCCGTTATGACTCTTTCTACTTTACGCTTCCCGATTTTATTATAATATATTTCCATCTTTGTTTCTTTTTTACGCAGGCCGAGGTAGTTACCAGCGGATACGAGTAAGCCGGGAGGAAAGCAGAGAAAAGAAGGGAAATCTTTGTCGTAAACGTCAAGCGTGCAAGACGCATGACGCGTTTCCGTTCCGTCTTATACTTTCTACTCCGCTATCAGAGTCATTCGACATTTTTTACCGGCTCACTTCTCACTCGGCAGATATAAAAATTCAATTGCTCCTGGAAAAAGGAGAATACTTCGCTAGCTCACCTATCTAGACCAGACAGAAGTTGGCCGATTTCCAAGTCGAAAAGACGAATACTGCACGCCGCGTCGCCGATTTCGGTTTTTCTTTCTACGACTATTATTTTCAGTCCGATTCCGCGAACGTGAGATGTTGCGTTATTCGCAACAATAACGATTCCCAATTTTCTCGACGCATTCGTGCGTTGCTTCGTCGCTCTGTGTACCGTATACTCGTACTGATATGCACCGCGTATCCTCTTCACCGGTTATCCTTTGTAACGACGATACACTACCGCGATCCCGCTCGAGCATTATAGCATTTTCCACGTTATGCTGTTATAACGAAGCGCAAACACACTTGTTATTTTTTATTTCATTAGTCGAGAACGTGGGATATTAGCTTGTTTTCGGCATAGAATAGAATTGCCTCGAATATACACGGACCAGGCTCTGAAATTCGATATCACTAATTGTCAATTTATATCGAATTAAAAACAACAATATCTAATATCTAAATATAAATTTCGATGAAATCTAATATCACCATATACCTTGTGGTGTTAGTTGCTAAAAGAAATTAAGAATTTCTGTCTAGGGATGTTTCTAAAGAGAAAAATTATTCCTGGGTATGAAGAAATTTCCAGTCAGTCGTCGTTCCGCCCTCCAGGCATTGAACCCTACTTTTAGTTTGCTTTACGTGAAGAGAAAGTGTTCGACCGTAAAATATCCGAAGAAAAAGTTTCGCAAGGGTGCTCTCTCAACAACAAGTGTTCGCAACTCGACGCGTGTCCAAAAACAAATTCTGGGGCGGCTCTCGATAGAGAAACGTAAAAACTGGCCATAAGACGACGCAAGAAGATTAGATGAAAGAAAGCGGTGAGAAGCAAAGGACAGAAAGCGATAGAAATGTCGATGAATATGCGTCGTCACGCGCCACGTTCAACTATGCTCGCTGCCAAATCCTTCAATAATCCACCAAGGATACGGGGGGATGTTAAGTGATTTTCTTGGATTTATTTGGCAATTGTTCCTTAACTTCGAGGCCGGACATCGTTTTCTATGTCGCAAGCAAAGGAGGAAAACTATATATCGTATTATTCGTGAATTTGATTTCCAAGTCACCAAGTAATTTGAGCTGCGTTCAAAATATTCATTAACGTTAACACGAAGCGAGAATAATGCCGCACCGAGGAGTTTCTAAGTTTAACTAAATGAAATGCAGTAGAGTCGTTTCAACGATATAATTTGAAATGCGAAAAGTGCGGCGAAGTGTTTGCCATTCTGACATTCGTCCGGTATAAAAGTCTTAACTGATTCGTTACAATTCCTATGCATGTTAGTCGCGTAAAACGAGAAAAACGTAAAAAGCGAAAGCCCGTTATTTTACGGAATAATATATAGCTCTAAAGACTTAACCTTTTTATCGCCACTGCCTTTTAATGACTATAAACAGTACTTGTGCTGTTTGCCAAGTTGCCGACTAGATTCGTACAGTTTCAGCCAGTTAAGAACATGACGATCGCAAGGTGTTTAAACGGCGCCTCGTTTAAGACTGAGGAATTTTTCGTTGGTTTTGTCTTCCGTGTCGCTTCACTTTTTACTAGACTGCCCAAACCAACAACTGTATACGTTCTGACATCGTCGATGTCGAAGAAAATACACGACGTACAACATTACCGCAACAAGCCGTTCGATAAATAAACTTGAGGAGAATGAAGAAAGAGTGAGAAAGAGAAAGAGAGAGAGGAAGAGTGGCAAAGAGGACGGTAATCGCGAAATAGCAAAAGAGTTGGAACGAAATGAAACGGAGGCTGTGTTTAAGAGCGAACTGAATCAATAGCTCTACCCTGCGACCCGTAGGCCAAATATAGGTCATACCGTGATCCCTTTTTCCTTCTCTATCTTTTTTGCTCACCAGTTCTTTCTGGTTGCTCTCTCATCGTTTACCTTCCACAGTGTTCGTTCCCCTGTGGAAGGTATACGGTATACAATATATTATTGCATCGACACTCGGTTGCGGTGCTCTCGTTGTCGGCGCATATACATTTTTCATAAATAAATTCCATGGGTGCTCCAAAGTTGATCCTACTGCACACTATTGAGTTACGTGTGCCTGAGGAATTACGTATTTGACTGGAAATTATAGCACATGCTACGAAGCGTAGGTACAACGCTTACTTCTTTGCTTTTACTTATTTTTTTTAACTTACAATCAAGATCGGTGCCTGCATTCAACATTTGTCAAATACCATAGTCATATCAATGTATTTGATCGTCAGGTCTAAAAATAACATTCGTCTTCCATTATAAGGAGCTTAGTAGGCAGAGCTCGAAAGATTGACGACGTTGTTGCCCTCTGGGTTGGATCCAGTGAAGGAGGGATGCTTTCAGCGTCTGACATTTGAAATCCATCCTCTTTGGTGTCTTTTCTGTCGTGAGAGAAAGTTGCGATTAGTCGCCGGAGCTATGTTCTTTTCGATGTGACTCCGGGCTACATTCATCATTATTCTCATTTTGACAGAGAGAAGCGACATCACGCTGTCGTCTTCTTACTCGTATTCGCGTCGTTGTTTTTGCTGTTTTGCGGTTCTTTTCCTTTAATTACAACCCGCAGCTACTTCGTACGCTTCAATATTTTCTAGTGAACAAAAAACAACAAGCTGCTTGCCTTTGAGACTTCGCTTTAAAAATGTATGTAACTTGCATCCGGAAACGGAGATGCTGGTTCAAAGCGAGTAATACCGTGAAATTGTGAGTAAAATTCATCCTATTCCGTTTCGACCGCGTGTTTTTGCAAAGCTCGTTGTTACCGAACCCTGGTTCGTGGTAGGTACACAATCCAGTTCCGTGCATTCCGATGTAATATCAGCAATGCAAACGGTACTTACTTTCGAACAAACTCCGGAACTAAACGTAACTAGTCGCACGCGATAGCAGTGGAATTAACGTGTTACTTCTGCGGCATAGTAGTGCAGAAGGCAATCGCGTCGCCAACAGTAAATTCATTCGTCACTGGCCAAGCAAACGAGCCAGAAACAAGCCGGCCAAAAATAATTGCCGTTATCGTACCGAATGACAAAGACCGACCGTTACGGCGAGCCAAAGTTTTTGCAACCACTTCGACGAAATGTGATTGGCCGCGGCCCGAACAAATTAACAGTTAACAAATTAACAGCGTCACCGGCGGGCACGGTGGACGAAACGCAAAATTGCCACAGACCACGGCTTCCTAACGTTTCCGGTCGATTGAAATACACCACTCAGCCGTACGACCGTCCCGCCATTCTATGCTTCCAATGGCAAACCTATTGATTATCCGCTCGCGTTTCTACCGCGCTGTCCATTTGCTGGCTGATTCATTATAATTGCAGCGTCGAAATGGGAGACCGGTGTCCACATCGCGGCGTTCCGCTTGCCCTCTAACCTCGGCTTCGGTTACGAGCCATCGACTCGCGTCACCTTATTTCAATTTTCTTTCTCGTTGGTAATTCTACAGCATCGATCAATCGAAAATGAGAATATTCGTTCGCGTAGTGGAAAAACTAGTCGTGCATTTGGTTCTGTTTTCACGCGAAATACTCGAAAATATCGTGTAAGGAAAATACACTGCACGTGAAAGAAACAGAAGATTGGATTTAAAGGTGAAAACCTGGTACAATTATCGAGCCACTTTCGAATTATGAAACGTATTATATCCAGATCTTAGTTTAGTATTTATTTAATCTTTTATTTATTATTTACAAAATTATGAAGATCAGATTATATATAATTGACTCGAAAATAGAGAATAAAATGAAAGAGAAAAGACAGCCGATAACTAGATCTCAGAAAAGTATAATTCAAAATTGGAGTGTAAAAGAAAGCTTCGAGTACAAGGAATTCAATTCAAATAGAATTTTTCTTAAGAATGAGGTTTGAGTCGTGTTAATTCAAACTATATCATGCAAAAATAGGTTTGTAAGTTTTCTCTAAAATAAACATTAAATTGTCTGAAAGAGAGAATCGAATGTATACCTACCCTCACAATGTAAAACATTATTTATTTCAATCCCCGAATGTTAAACAAATGGAACAGTAACCGACCATTTGGCAAGCTAACATATTTACTAAATGTATACAAATGTAGTAATAAATTGCAGAGTCGTGTATTCGTTGGATTCTACACGATGAATATACCAGAATCATCGGTCGTCAGTAGTCGTAATAATACTCGATTTTCTTATTAATTATTTTCTGGTAGCCGACAATCTAGACATACGCAATGTATGTCGCACAGCGCTCACAATGTTTCTCGATTAACTTCATGGTTCGATCGGTGAGCATATAAACCGAGCCAATGAAAAGGTTATGAATAATATATTTATACGATTTTTCAGGCAGTCGCATCGCCTTCCTGCTGACCCACATTCCTCCTCTGCGATTAAACACACTGTGGCGCGTCGTCAAATTTATTACGGAAACATGAGACGACCATGTTTTGCCATGGCGAATATTTACGTTGGAATATTGGCACCGTTATCGCCGAAAATCACCGCGAATTCGCCATTGTCGCCCTGCGTAATCTCGTTCGCGAATGTAAATTCAAGATACTCAACAGATCGCACATTGTTTTCGTTAGTTTGCTAGCGAACCACATGAAAAAAAAACGAGCCTTACGTTAATCGAGGTTCTGCAAACATGAAAGCGCTTCACGCGACTGGTGTGCACGATTATCGATTCGACCGGCCACGAATTTTATTCGGAACAATGACACGGAATAATGAACCCTGCAACAGAACGACTCCACGTGTGTCGGTTTGAAAAATTGTCCAGATATATATGTATATATATATCGAATCGTACGAATGTTACCCGATGTTTCAATTGGAATCTACCAGAACTTAGTCGGCAGATGTATTCCACGATAACGATTATCGTCGATAACCGGATACCGTCGGAGAGGAAATTAGGAACTATCTACTTACATACACGGTATGGGAATACTATGTAAATACATATATTCACTTTTCAAAAATTATAGAGATTTGCGTCGATCCGTTTCGTTGATTTTAACGGAAAGTTAGCAAATTTACACTAGCTTCATAGCGGAAAGTTAGCAAATTTACTCTAGTTCCAACCCTTTTCTTTCTTGCTTTATCGCATCAAATTGATTTGTCGGCTAAAAATAGTAATTTACAATGTAGCAATCGGATGTAGATAACGCGGTATGAATCAAAATTTGTCCAAACTCCTAGATCGAGCGACTTCATCAAAGCAGATCCAAGCTGCCGTCGATCAGGAACCACTATTTCCAACTAATCATTGGGATCTGGGTCTTGTTAAAATTACGATGTATTGTCCTGATGTCCGATCAAAGTTTGCTCAAATCTAAGGCGATAATCAGACTCTAACAGAGCGAGCGAACGACGTCGTAGTTTTCGGTCCGGAGATAACGTTTGCCGTTGAGCAAGAGAGAGCTCCGTAGTACATTGACACTTCATTAACCGCATCGGTGCTGCGAAGGAGCGACACGCAAGCGTTTCTCCTTCTCCCTCCCTACTCCCGCAATTTGTTAACACGATGCAACGTTAAAGGAAGTTGGTATTTTGCGCGCCATCGTAGCGAAATCGTGTGACGATGTTCGATCACCGGCAGCGACCCATCGGATGATCACGCTACGACGATACCGTGGGTAATTAGTAGCTGCCTAGTTCCGCAAGAAACAACCACGTTACCGAATCATTCAACTTATCCCGCAATCCATATGACTGCTTGTGCGGTTGTTAACGCAACTCTAACGTCATCCGGGCGATTACGCGCGAAGATTTCATTCTTTCGCGTCTTCGACTCGACTCGACGTCTGTGCCAAATATTTCACTGGTCGCAAAAGTTAGGAGTTAATTCGATCGTTAGCGATTTAACGATGTAACATAGTCGCAAGAGAAGGTGACATAGCGCGGCACCGGCCTCTTACCAGCTCTTATCTACTCGCCGGCCTGTTCGCTGTTCTTTTTGTTTCCACTCTCCTCTGCCTCTATCGGCATGCATTCGAGGCATTGTTAGCGCGCGGACGAGCCTTCCTTTTATCTTCTCTGCTGTTATTCGCTCAGGCCGTTCTACCACCCTCGCCCTATTTCGCTCCTTTTCTCCTTTTGTCTTTATCCACTCGCGATAACGACGTTCCGTTGGTATCAAATTGATCAGACGAGACGCGCCTTAACGACGTGCCGCGTATGACTGTGCACGGGTGTAGCCGAGTTGCGCTTCATCGACGATCGACCTCCTTTCGTGACGACTATCCTTCCTTTCGATCGCAAATAATTACATAACGCTTTATCCATTTGACATCTTGTATTTTATGTCAGGATAAATGATGCCTGATGGAGCATACCGTGGCGCGCGGATTAAACGCGAAGAGAATTGGTTTCAGAACGTCCCACTCTGATACGATGGTGTTTTATTAAAAGGAATGTGCTATATTTACAACATAAACGTTCTCCACAGCAATCTTCAGGATGATAAGCAACGATGAAAGCCTTTGGTACAGTGAAAACATGAAACATCGAAGCGTAACAAACAGGTACAAAACGATAAACGACCGATCGATCACGAAACGATCAATATCCTTCGTTGGTGGTGTACGAGGCGACGTAATCTTGGATGTCTTGTTCCTGTTGCGCCGCAGTTTGGTGATCGTGAACTGGAAGCTGGCCTTGACCGACGTAGATATCAGCCGAGTGGTCGTTCTTGCCGGAAGTGTGCACCACGGCATGAAATCCATCCTTGTCGGCGCGGTAGCTGACCACTCGAATGCTACCACCTGGTTCCTTCACGCTGTACTGGCCGGACACGCTGCTTCCTGCGGAAAGGAACGGCCGCGGATGAACGGAAGCCGCGAAACCAATTGTTGAACTTGTAACGAAACGTAATTGAATGCCAGAGAAATTTCGCCTGAAATAACTCTATTAGCATAACAACGTCGAGGAATAACTCGACCGCGCGGATACAGTAGAGGTCGCGAGCCAAACCGCGCGGAGCATGTCCTCCTTACTTATTTATCCGGTAGTCGTATCCTTCCCACATATTCATGACGCGTGTACGAGAAAATTACTCTCGCGATCAAATTACCTCCGCTTCTATTAATCGTGTTTGAGTTTTCGTGTCAAAATTCGCATGAACAAACTCGCTCACGAAGGAGACAAAAAAAGGAATATTGAATCTCGAACGGTTGCTTCTCTCTCTCTCTCTCTCTCTCTCTCTCTCTCTCTCTCTCACCATCTCGCGTTTCTTTCTGAGCATGGAAATCGCCAGTCTGATGATCCTCGACGCCGTACGAGAACTCGTACTTCGGATGCGCGACATAGTCAAACTCGTAACCGTGTTCCTGTTGCTCGTGTCCGTGTAAATTGTTCGAGCTGTCCTCGTGATTCTCCGCGTACGGTACTTTCACCTCAAACACTGGCCCCTCGACGGGCCCGTGAAACTGCAGGTACGAGTTGGCCAGTGAACTGTGCTGCACTGGATCCTGTTGTCCGTGTAAAGCCTCCGCTTCCAGGGATATCACGCCGGCTCGTGATCGATGGCCGAGCGCCAACGTGATGGTCAAGGCGATACTGACCTGTGGCACAAAAAGTCACCTTCGAAAGTACCTTGTAACCTGACGTTTTTCTTCGATCGGATCTGGTACATCAGTCGCTGGAAGATTTACGCGTGATCGACGTGGGAAAAGGTGACGTTTAACGGGTTGATTTTTCAGCGACCACGGGATTTGGTACGTGATTCTGCCATCGATCTCTTATTTTTTACAATTTTCGTATGACTATTCACGCGTCGCAGATTGAACTAATTTGAAGATATCGATCGCGTTGCAAATGAAAAACGAGTCGCTATAGCGAATCACGGACAACGAATTTAAATCGTACGATTGCGAGGTATTCGATATTGCCAGGAACGAGGTACGATTCGATTCCTTAATTGTGAATTGTGTATAGAATCGTGTCAAAGCGGGTTGCACCGTGATGAAAGCAATCGAATACATGCTGCACTTATAACGATCAATTGAATCTCAGAGACAGATGCACAAAGAGAGCGAAAAAGAGAGGAGAAACGAAAACGTCGATCTGAGACGTCCCATTTTCAATTACTACGTCGATTGTCAGCGCACAAACGTTGACTATCGCGTCGAAAACAGTCTCGACTCGTCGATTATACACAAGCCAATAAAAGTTTCGCGTTTCATCGTGGATTGAAATTCGATTCTCTTTGTTTCGTTTGTACGCGTTTCGCTTCGTTAGCTCGTTTATCATGACAAATAAAATTACCGAATACCCTTCGCCGCAAAATATCGATAAGATTATCGAACAAACGGGAGTAAAAATGACGCAAATCGACGCGATTTAATATAATTTTTAGCATGGTTACTTGCAGCTTTCAATTACACCTCATTCGTAATGTTGTAACAAGTGTTGAAGCTTGTCAAACACGAGCGAGCAGCATCACGGTATAAAGAATGCCAGTTGGTTTTAATTACTCGACACAAACCCGGAATAATAAGCAGTCCAGTCCGGTATCCCATATGCGACAGGATTATGCGACACGATTATGCGACTCTCGAAATCATGATACCGTGTTCTGTAATATCTTCGCTTGTCTCGCACGAGTCTTTTTCTTATCGAGAAATATGCTCATCTATGTATATATGATCTAAGTATATTTTTATAAAGTAATGAGACGAATCGAAACGATTTCTAAGAAGGTCGTCTTCCCTCGCGCTCTGTTTTCTCAAATTTTCCTTTGCACGTACTTTCGAAAATAAATTCCGACTAGAACTCTCTCTCTCTCTCGCTCGCTCTCCCTCTCGCTCCGGTATTTTTCTTGTTTCTGATCGTTTGCTCCTGCTTGATTTCTCGTGTCCCGCTTTTCTCCGATTCACGATTCGATTTCTTCGTCGATACCGTACCTTGATCCTCGTGTCTCCCTCGTATCTCATGGTATATAAAGCGGTCAAGTGAGAACTGCAACTTTCCAACGTATTTTCTAGCCTTTTATACCATGGCAATGCACATTCTGTTTATATACGACGCTCGTAAACAGATGTGAATCTGCCAGTTACGTTGGACATCGCGTGCGTGTGCGATACGTGCGTACACGTTGGTGAATTTCGCTCGAACATGGTCAGTCTGGCCCTCTCTTCGTCTCCGCTTCGCGACCTTTCACGTACGAAACCGCTGTAACGGAACTGTTTGTCACCAGCTTCTGACGACTTCGCTGCTTCTATACTCCAAGATAGGAACGACGTTTCTCTTTTCTATTGAATCGATATTAGAAACTTCATCGGACGATCGTAAGGATCGTCCGGTCATACAACCGATTAATCTTGCTCTAATTGGCACAACCGATCTTACCTTCTTGTGAGTAGCAATTTCGTTCTAATAACGCTTCGACTTCGGTAATCTGTAACCAGTTATTAATAGATTCGTGTTTAATATTATCGATCAATCCTGGTTACGGTGGCTTCCTTACATTTTCGAAGACGCCACTGAACGGCTTCCTTTTCGTCAGCGCGAAGCCTGGCATCGCGTCGCTGGACGACACTAGGGTCGAATAATCCGCTTATTCCGTTCGAGCCAGGATTTATTTGGATTCTTAACCCCCTGGGAGATTCGGTGCTTGGATTGAATCGCGTCGGATCTACTTTAAATGCCTCGATCTCCGACAGTTTTTCCTCCCTACTTGAGAAGCTGGTTGTCTCGTTCGTTTAATAGCGCAGTTTAATTCCTTTATTGGGCTGTTTGTTCCAGCTCCAAATACCTTCGCGGGCTCGAACAACGAGCTTGCGTCTCTCAAACTGCCATTGCGCTAATCTTGCGAATCCGCTGCTTTCGAATTATTTAACAAACGCTTCGACGATTTACCCGACCTATACTTCGAAACGAGATCACCGGTGCTAATCAGCGTCAGCTTGATTATCGACTTCGATTATTCGTAGTCAAGCGCAACGAGTGGCAACGTATCAAACGGAAGTATAATTCGGCGGAGCTTCTTCGTGCGACGTGTTTGAAGTCAAACATCAAAAGCCTTGATTTTCTAGATTCGCTGCATCTAACAGGTAGACCGGAAAACATGGACAAACGTAAAAGAAGCGAGACGCGAGTGTAAAGGATATACACGTATTCGTCCGTGGATGTTTACAGAAGCTACTTTGAAGCAATGAGAAAATAAGAAAATGTCAACGTCATCGAAAAGGGAACGGTTGATCAGAAAAATAACAAGTTCTACTCCAAGACCTCCGTGTTCCGTGCTGCCAGTGTTTGGTCTTTTACACTTGAACGATTGAATTTCTTCCTTCCCGTCCTAGTTCTGCCGTTTTCAATTTACAAATTGAAAATCCTCTGTTATGTTTATGCGCGTCGATTAATGTTCGTGACGCTACTGCTTTATTCGAAAGGTATCAGGACACGAGTCGAGTACCACTATCGTTTGCCAGTAACCACAGTTTGTCGATGTCTCATTACGATTTACGTTTGGCCGTCTCTTTGACGAATCGTGTGTGTAGCCTCGACGAGACAAGCTACAGAGAGCCGTCAGTGGAATTGCGATTTCGTTGGAAATCGGAAAAGCAACATGCTATGCTATGTTCGAGCGTGTTTCGGTTCTCATGGACGTTCTTCAAAGGTTGAGTCACTGAACGGAAGATCAGAGTAAGAATTTCGTCTTTGTTACCTCGCAAGATGATGTTGCGTTTATCAGAACTACCCAAGTTGATTTCAAGTTATTCCACACAACAAAGTATACCGATCGATGCCAGATAGTTGACGTACAGACTGTATGACCGTTCAGGTGAAGTTAATAAAAGATTCTGCTTTCACGAAACGAAGCCAACCGGAAGTTGGCTAGCATTCCAAAGAAATCTTTTCTCTCCACGCTTTTCTCGTTGCCGGTAAAAATTACTGAATACTTTTACGCATAAACCATCGGTTTTACGAGCAAAAAGTATTTTTCCCATCTAACGTCGGCAACATAAATGGTAATATTTTACAAACGAGTACGCTTCAAATAAGAACCGACGGTATAACGATAACGTACAAAGCGATAACGTGCTTGTTGTTCGTTATTGTCGACTGCTAATTAATTCGCTTTGTAAGCAGTTCGGTCAGCGCGGATTTAAAAACATTATAAGCATCGGATAAAACACATTCAAGCGCAATAATGTCCCCATGGCAAATATAAATATATTCAATTATAGCGGCATATATAGGTGGTCGGTGTCGGCGTCTTTGCGTCAAACGATCATTTGTTCTACACAAATACCGTGTATTATTCGTATTTGCTCTATGCGTTGTTATTCCTTGCGACTCGATATAGGATCGTTTCATCTGCCGAAGACCAATTACAACACGTATCTTAACTTGAAATTAATCCTTTGCCCGTAACAATTATATTCCCGCAGTCCGATACAAGTGCCACTATCGACGCTAATTGAAGTGCTTCTGCGTGCTTCATCCGAAAAACAAAGACAAGAAAACAAGACCAAACTTCCTGCTTCAAAGAAAAATCCCTCTTTGACACAGATACGGGGATTCTCTTGCTCGGGCCGTCTCGTCTCGGGAACAAAATCTTTGACGCGAAATTGCTGGGTGAACGTACGATGGCGATGAACAATGCATCGTTGCAGCAAAGATGGGTAGCTTCGTATCATTGACGCATATTTTTTTCTTACCCTGTTCCTCGGAAAAAAAAAGAAGAGGATGAAGTTTGGCCAAGCGAAACGAATAGGTTTGGCGTACGAAGGGTACGGATAAACGAAAACGTTTGTATCCAACCATTTCGATGGTTTTCAGAGTGGAAGGATAATAAATGCTTTTATTTCTTGTGGAAACGCGGAAAAACGGACTAATGTATATCAGCCATGTTGCCGCTATACGTATATCTTAAAAGCAGGGTCTTTTTATCTGATCCATTCTAGAGGATAATATGGTATGCGAATGAAGGTAAAAGGATCATAACCGTGATAAAAATTTAGAATACGATCAAATAAATGTGGTTAAATGGAAAAACGGTGTTTCAATATTTCCTCGTTCTTTTGTCGAAAGGAGAAAATTTTATTGTAATCGTTCTTCCGATGCAATAAATACACCATTTATTTATTTCAAATTCTTTCGACCGTGTCGCAGACTGTAGATTAATCTTTTAATCAGAAGAAACGAGTTTCATTCCCCGCGAGGATTTTCCACGAAATTTCGTGAAAATTTTAGTAACGCACGGAGCATCTTGGGTGGATCGCTCCGAGAACAGATCCTTAAATTTTCTACGAATATATGTTCCTTCTTTATTAAAAGTTCCTACGGAATATATATGGTGGGTTAAAATCCACGAGGTTAAAAGCAAGTTAGAACAACGACGATGTTGGTGCTACGATTTAAATAATTCGCGAGATTATGTACACACGAGTTCGACTAGTAAAATTGTAATAGTTTGGGTATCCGTACGATATAAATTGCACGTCGGAATAAATGTCAAAGAGAAAGTATTGGCTAAAATATTTTCGTTCGAATGGTTCGATGAACGGATAGAGTTCTGAAATCGAGAGGAATCCTAAGACTCTAACCCTTCGTGGACGAATGAACAGCGTAATTGACAGGGCGCCTAGGACGTGAAAGAGAAACGATGACTAGGCGGATTCCTTCGAAGCCACTTCTTCTGCTTTCATACTCCGGAAAGCTTCGGTAAAGCGCATTGAGTGCAAATTGCGGCAGACATCCGATCTAGGTCAAGCCGATGCGCGAGACAACTGGTACCGTCGGCTGTTTCACGATTAAATGAATGCACCAAGTTCGAGAGGAACAGATTCCCTCGTTGCGGCGGGGTCCGGTGACAGCGTACCGTTCTATTGCCTCGAGCTTCTTCACCGACTTCATATTGCATCCATGCTTGAATTCTTTCTTACGATATATGAAATTCGAAACAAGAAAACACATATCATCGACTTTATTATTATCAATTTTATTCTTTATCGGACTTGCTGTATTATTTATTTCTACGCGTCATGGTGCGTATTTTTTAATTCTTCGATCGATTCCGTTGAAGCGTTACGTACGTATAATTGATAAAATCCAATTTAGGAGCGACGATTGTATAAGATTTCATAGTTGTTAGAAGTCAGAAAAGTAAAACGGAACAGAGGCGGAACAACGTTAAAGGGCCAGGCTGTCGGCTGACTCAATTAAAATTCTTAGTAAAATTTCTCATTTAGCCGGAGCGCTTGGTTCTCGCGACCGGCTATCCGCGAAGTCGTACGACAAACGGAATTTTACCGACTCATTTTTTCTGGGAAACAGTTAGCCAAGGAAGGTTAAAACGGGTAATGATAAGGAAACGCAATTCCAACCATTCTTTTCGCGTTATTGCGGTTGTGTCAGGCGTTTCCAGAGCGTGACTCGCCAAGCACAGCAAGGCAATGAAACGTTAAAAATGCGGGCTATTAAGGGCCAATGTGCCGGGATACCGTTTCATTTGCATCCACGCTACCGTCTTTCTATTATTAAAATACGGAAGTGGTCGGTGTCTGCCAACGATTCCTCCTTATTCCCTTTTCCGTAGATACGGTCGAAGGCAATTACGCGTTGAGAATACCGAACTGGTACTATGCATTTCCGATGTATTTTCGATGTATTTTCGATGCATTTCCGACGATTGTCTTTCGAAATATATCATTTGCAGCCAACGCAGCCAACAAACAACCAAAAACTCGATACAAAAACACAACCAATGCTTGCGAGGGTATACGATATAAAAACGTCCAGGTTCTAACAACGTTACTAAGCGTACAGTTAATCAATCTTCATTTTCTGCTACCTAATTACCGCTACATCGTATAAAAAGATAAATTAGGCATTGTTCTTATCTATAACACGAGTAAAAGAAATTTTATTTATATGAAAGAGTCGCGATCCAGTTAATAAATTCCCAATGCTTTTAAAAATCGTTTGCAAACATTTTCATTGATAGATCGAAGTTTATGCAAGTGGATTACAAGATTACGCGATCTATCGTTTCGTTAGTTAAATACAGTGAAATCGGTTTTATTTAAATAACCGCTAAAATTCACGGAAGAAAAATATATGACAGTTCGTGGAACGTCCACCGTTGGTTTCCGTTGATTTCTGATAGCACGAGTGATAACGCGCGATTCAGAAGCATCGGTGGAGGCACGGCGACTCGGTGCAAATGTGACATGTCACGATCAGAGATTAACGCGTTAACAAGTTGTCAAGGGAGAACGTGTATAGGTAGATGTAGCGTCGACGCGTAAATCAAAGTTCAAGATACCAATTTACTTGCACTTATCACGGTTGCGCAGCCAAGCGCGACACTTTCTCTTACTCCTAGCTGCGATCTTAAACCTGTTGATCGAGCACAATCGAGTTCCTCGTCAGCGGACAATGTCGTTCACACGTTTCGTGGCGAGGTGCACACGTTACCGAACACACGTATGTCAATTTGCTGGCGCCTAACTAATCCTCGAACCATGCTACCAGCTGGACAACACATGTGACGTGGATTGGCCATTATGCGTT